GTTACTACTTGGTCTGAGTTTTAGTTGACAGGTAGTTGCTTTAGAGGCTCGCCACGTGCTAGAGCGATAGGAGTTAGCTCAATTTCTGCATTTTTCGGGCTAAGTTTTTTTTACTTAGATCAGTTCTCGCATTTTCTGAGATCTTTTGTTATACTTGGCTTTGTATAAATCTTGGTAAGCTATTTTCCCTACGGGAAGCGCTGCCGAATTTTTTGTAAATCCAAGGAGTTAGTCAAATTTCTGACTTGTCAAAGTTCAACTTGTCTAAAGTTTATATATGACTTAGTAAAAATATGGAAAGTCCCCTTTTCTAAAGAGAGTGCTGCCCAAATTTTTGCTAATTCAGGGAGTTAGACAAAATTGAACTTTGGAAAGTCAAAGACCATTTCTGGTTTCATGTTCAGGCTTATATAAATTCTGAAAATACATTTTTCCTACGGGAAGCGCTGCCAAAAGTTTTCTAATTTAGAGGAGATAGATTATACAGGTGGCGATTCTGGCGATCTACCCTGAATAGGGGAGATTTTGCCATTGGTCTACCTTGCCTTGGACACTGCTTGAGGGTAGACTTAGGCTTAGTTAATTAGGATGTTTTGAGTGGGATCATGATATGGGGATTATTTTCCATGAACTTATAGATCTAGCCGTGGGTATTGACTTGTCTTGTGTTACAGGTCCTCTTGATCGTGTTGATTCAGGATTTGGACTAGTTTCATCTTGATCCTACGAGGATGATCTTCTGTTAGCACTGATAACAGGTCGGTTGTCGATTCGTCGGTTTACGATTCAACTCCAATTCACTCCTGCCACTCAACCTAAAGACTTTAGCCTTGAGATTTGAACTGTTTTGTTGTGTTTTTACCCGGACTTTATTGAATGGTCATCCAACAAAAGTACTTAGTATTTATTTAAGAGTTGCACGAGTGAGGCTTGTATGGCTAAAGCGAGGGGTATGAGTGTGAGGAATGGTTGAAGTTGACCCCGTGTAGTGCATGGACTTCTGGTTGAATCTTTGATGTGACTGCAGGTATGGTTGTGGTTTGGACTCTGGATGTGACTGCTTGCGATTACATACATATATGGCTGAGAGGAGTCCCACAGTGACTGTGAGAAGTGGTCGTCCTATATAAATAAGCCTTATATATATATGCCTTGGGTATGTGCACGGCTTATTGAGATCGTGCGCAAGGGTTAGCCAGATTATGGCTCGAGAGAAAAAGGGAGATCCATTTTCATCCTTTGTTTTTTAGAGATTTTTTATAGTTGGACGTTATAGTCCGTGGCAGCCGTCAAAGTCAAACTCCTTGATGTTCGACCGCCACGACAGCTTAAAAGTTGTCTACTCCACCCCTCTGCACAGGGTGCAGAAGAGGGTGTGGTCTTCAACCGCACATGGCGGTTGTCTTGCGTCGAGAGATTAACCCTCAAGGCGCATGTCAGTCGACACTTGAGTGTCGAATGCGACCCTCGTGATTAATGGGGACTGTGTGAGTATGGGTACTACATAGTACGCCATCATTGCGACTGCTTGCGTACGCTTGCATTGTGAGTCGATATGAGTTAGCCCTGCGTCCGCGCGGTTTTATACTRAGACTCACGCGCGAAGCCTATCCGATTTCCGCCTCGGGAAGTTATGGGTTGGCTACCGAGGGGCTAGGAGCGTTGTCGCGTTGTTTGTGTTGTGTCGTGTTGTGTGTGCGTGTGTGTGTGTTTTATTTTTGCGTTCGTAAAGTGGTGTGTGTGTGGTGTGTGGGATGCGTCCTAGTCGACCGACGTTGAGCCGCGCTTGGGACTTCAGCCCCCCAAGATGTCGGTTCGCGTGCGGGCCCAATAAGCGTATTACCGCGCGTGCCCCCTATGCTACAGCGAACGAGAAACGCCCTCGGCTGATCCACCTGTGCGATTGCAACAGAGTAGCTTTCGTACTGTGGATTGGTAGCTCGGCGGGGATACGCCCACCGAAGGGAGGTGACAGCTCTCGTAAGGTGGAGGTAAGTTGTGCCTCGCGTAGGCCCTATCCTGTCGTAGGGGTTCGCGAGAGGTATGGCTGGTGCACTCGGCCGGAGCGGCCTATGGAAGCTCCATTTGTGTGTTCGTGGCAAGGTAAGTCCAACTCCTGCGTGACGCGGCCGAGAGGGTCCCGCGCTGCCACTTGAGGTGCCGGACCGATGCGCCCGACATCGGGTAGCTGAAAATTCAGGAATGGAAATTCTGAAGTGAGAGTTTTAGGCAGTCTGAAAATCCTGAATGGTCCTGAAGTGGTGAAACGTCCGAAGACCCTGAAACCCACATGTTTAGGTAGGCTGCATCCTGAAGTGGTGAAGGGGATACTCACACTACCTTCTTAGCCCGAAAAAAATGTACGTAAGTTCTATTCGAATTACCTCTGGAAATCGGGTTTTCAGAAATTGCTTTTNAAGGGGATACTCACACTACCTTCTTAGCCCGAAAAAAATGTACGTAAGTTCTATTCGAATTACCTCTGGAAATCGGGTTTTCAGAAATTGCTTTTTTTTCCCCGAATAGAACGTACGTTCGAATATAACGTACGTACGTTGTATTCGAATACGTATGTTTTATTCAAATTTTTCGAACTTTGAATTTTCAAAAATAATCAAAAAAATTCGAAAAAAATAAAATGTTATACAACAATGCAATACAAACAACGTTTGCCTGAGGGTCTTATTGAAATTCAGGGGCGAGGTCCCATTAGCAGTCGGATAGGAGTGTGGCCAATCCAGTGTGACACTAAGTGGCAGMGGCCAGACAAGTTCATTACGAATTTCTGGGCTGAGAAAACAGGAAAAAGGCAAAAAAACTAAGGAAGAAACAAAGACCTCCCACCGGAAATCACAGCATTGTGCTTCCCAGCCATCAGATCACAAATGATCTGATGGTGGTGGTTGCAAAAACAGTGAACAAAGTAACCGCCACATTTTATGGAATAAACTCGACTTCTGACAGCAGTGATCCTGACACCCTCCATATACTCCGTGATTGAAGGAGGGCTCCACCCAATGAGATAATCGCACAACAACAAGTAAAACGCTGAAAATCTTATATCCAGTGGGCTAAGGCCGACCCCAACCTCGTTTGGGGTTGGCCACACCCCCAACCGATTGAAAAGATTCTGGCGGGAAGTTGTCTTTGCACGGACATGCCCAGTGTTAAACCACCAGTACCTGCCGGTTGTTAAGGCCCGTGGCTCAGCCTACCGGTAGGCCGGTCGTTCCCGAGCCTCGGACTTTATTGTCGAGCCCTGGACAACCGGTAGGACATCACGGAAAACAAAAAAAACAAAAAAAAACAAAAAAAA